TCTTTCAACTTCATAATTTTTTTTACAATTGAGGCCAGGGTCGTTGCTTAAGAGGACAGGGGAAGTCATGCCGAACGGGATGATGGTAAGTAACCGAATACCCTGGAATAACCTTGCGGATGATATTGACTCAACCATCCGAGGAGGACCTACAGAGAATAATCGATAATGTATATGGGAAAAGCAGAACATTTGGAATGAAGATAAACACCGGTAAATATATAATGGAAGATAAGAGGAAGAGGTAAAGATCAAAATTGGAGAGGAGCAGCTATAATACGTAGAAATATAAATACGTATCAAAGAGTGGACATTGTGGAGATTACATAACATGAAATAATCAGACTAGCTGCTGCATTTAGAAAAACGCGACAAGATTTGGAAGGTTAAAGACAATTTGATGAAACAAAAAACTTTAACTTAGAGTATATGAGACAAGTATCATGCCAATACCATTATATAGATCAATAATTCTAGACTAAGAATAAAGCTGACAATCAAAAAATGTGGAAATGAGTTCGTGAGGAGGAATGGTGAGAGTTTGAAGACTGAAGAGAAAAAGTGGTAAGGCAGTGGCGGGGAGAATAAATAATGCTACAACAGAAGATTCTGGGAAGACGACTGCGATGGTTTGAACACATATCAAGAAAGCTAGCAGGAGAAAGGACACCACAAACAGTGATGCGTATCACTGCACAACGAACGAGAAATAGGGGAAGACCGAGGACGCTTTGGAATGCAGCAAGAGTTTTACAACGACGAATGGAGCGGTGAAGCTGGTGCACGATGGAAACGTTTTCCAGAGACTTAATTGGACATCATTGCTTACTTTTGACCTGATGGACAGGAATGCAAAAAGTGGAGATCGCATCCCAGGATTCCCATGAATCGGTTCTATATTGCAAGCCAGGGCAACAAAATGTGCTTGTTTGCACCGCACCACCACCCATAACACATGCTCCAAATGAAATACAAAGCAGACAAGACAACGCAGCAACGTTCGTTTTTACCAGGTACGATTTGTTCTGAATAGCACTCTGAGAGTCAAAAGGTGGTTCAGAGTTTGCCTTATTAGAAAAATAGTGCTGGAAAACATTGATCTCTTCACAGTTCTGTAATAAAGGCCATAGACTGACTACAATGCGTTACTGGATTAAAGCCTGGTCACACTTGGGTGATCATGAGGATGATTTGACCCAGGATTGGCTCAGATAGCAGTCACCACTAATGTTAACCGTGGCTCGGAATCAAACTCGGATCGCCCGGTGCATGGTGTGGTGCACCAACCACGACGTTACCTCTCCTCCAAAAGTACATGTACGGTATATAGAAAATGATTGTCATTTATTGCTTATGAGGAGGTCATATTTAATTATCCAGAATTAAATTCAGACAAGTATTAACTTAAAAAAAGTCCACGTGAAAACTACCTTTCCAAACCGGGCTTTGGGGTTCATTCATCTCTTGAATTCTTTTTTTATTCCAGTCAAGGACGTCTGTATAAATGTAAGTAGACCATGAAAAACACAAGGCGTTATACTTGCCACGTGTCGAAACGTCCCAACTAATTGCAGGGTGACTGATAACTAATCGAATGCTACACAACGCGAAGTTAATTACTGTATAGTGTAGGTGTCACGGATATAGGACGCATACGTGACGGAGGAGCGGGAGTGTCGCGGTTATCACGCTGCACTACAGTGACCCGGGTTCAATTCCCACTCACGGCCACAACCAGTAACAATTATTTGAACCGTTCCTTGGCCTCCCCTAGGTCGACCTAAGCTCAAATGAGTACCTGGTGCAGTGTGAAAACATCGCCACTGGGGAGACAAAGGCGGCCGGGCGTGGTGCTGGCCACCTACCTCCTTCCGAGGTGCTCGCTAACAGCGCTTGCCCCAACAGTCTGTTAAGGCTACACGGGGAATGTTTGTCTTTGTTATCTGGTGACTACTTGATATCAATAAGCACATAATGGACAAATGTTTACACTTATTTGAACCGTTCCTTGGCCTCAGAAACAGAATAAAGGTACTTTCAATAGCTTCCTCCTTTGCCCCATAACTCGACATTTCTTTCTAAATAAATGTAACGTTCGAAACGAAATGCATCATGGCCTCTCCAATACCACCAGTCGTTGTGCACAACACGTGTCTCATTGTTTCCTCAGAGGTCGGCCCGATTCAACCGAATATAGAAAGAGCTTTGGTTTCTCAGTGTAGAGAAATTGTAGCAATTGTGAGTCACTCCCCAGGCACTTTACACATGGAGAAAGAAAAAAAACCAACCACATAACACAGAATGTCACTTACAAAGAGCCAGCAGATGGGATGTTGCCTTCAAAGTTTGGCACTCATTTGATACAGTTTCCGCATCAGAGAGGTTCATGTGAGGGTCTGTAATTGGGTTTGAGATCAGGATACTTTGGACTTGAATTTAAAGCTTTTTCAGGCCAGACAGCAACATGGATGGGTGCACTGAGACCACTCATTGCATGCAATAGAAAAATCTATACATATACATTTAACCTCAATTAGATTTCTATGATTATTATAAAAAAGGTAGACGTTGTTTGGACTGTTGTCTATTGGACTGAAAGAATTAATCACTGGGATAGGTTCTTGAAATGTCGCAGCTCAGGGTTGTTGCATCCAAAAACATGCGTGCAGTGTTACGTTTTAATGCGTGTGTTTAGTTTGTCGTCCTTCCCCCGCACCTCCGATTAGCACGGTTGGCCACGTACGGTGGGAAAGAAGTTCAACACGCAGGCAGTGCACACGTCCGTCGTAGGGCAGCAGGGTTTGAGGGCAGCAGGATGTGACTCACACCCTGCTGCCCAAAGCGCCGCCGTGGCTAATGGTAAATTACGGGTGATGTGAATTCGCTTGGAAACTTTGCACAAACTTTTCTTCCATTGTTGGCTTTACTCCGACCCCTCCGGCTTTTGGCCGTTCAACAGCGGCGGCAAGAGGGTGCTGCTGTCGCGGAATTGTGTGCGCTATCGCGTGGAATCAACCGCACTTAAATTACCAATACAATATTTTGTTAAATCATTCAAATGCAAAAGACCACTGTTGTATTTCCATTACATTTTGATTTCATGAAAATAGATTAACGAGTGTTTTTTTTCTCCTCTCGCAGTAAAACATATATTACTCATATTCTTGGTTCTTTCGGTATTATTTTATTGTTTCCCTTCTATGTGACTTTACCGAAAGAATCAAGAATATGAATCCCTGCAGTCACGAAAGCTTTAAATCATATATTACTCGTTGTAATCTTCTTTTCATGAATTATGAAACGGTGTACAATACATATGCTGCTTCATGCGCCCTCTTTTTAAAATTTCACAACAATCACAGTGACTCGAGATCTCCTTTGAGCCTTGAAGATATACTTTTGACATTTCAATGAGGCAAGAAGAGACCGCAGCTAATTCGGATATTGACCATTTAATGTCTACCATTCACTTTTCGTGCCACTGCCATGGGTTTTTTTTCTGAAACATTTTTCAGGAAAGCCCAAAAACCTCTCTGAGTGTCAACACTTTTTCAGGAGGTTGGCATGTTTGTCAATTCCCTTGCTACGCAGGGCTTTGTGGGGAAAAAAAACGATGGTGTTCAGAAATCCTCATCACTCTTTTTCAGAAGTGTCCTGACAAGGGTTCACAGTAATGGGCGATTGTTTCAATACATATTCCAAATTAGCAATTTACGACGTAATTTTTATTTTTATTTTCGGATCGTCAGAAAAATCAGCATCTATATTTAATTTGGAGGAATCCGATGTCACCCCATATGCTCCCTCGTTATTTGTTTTTTTACACCTGATGAAGATCGCTTGTGTTGCAGTCGAAACGTCGTGATTGATTTATTTTAATATAATTTCATGGTATTTCTACATACATGACTTTACCGAAATAAACAATGAGTAATTGATGCAGTCACGAAAGCTTTAATTCTTTATAACCACTCTTATTACAGTTTAGAGATAAAGCTTGCATTGTGTATTTCTGAAATTCGTATCTTTTACAAAACTCTAGAAATATTAGCTGAATTTCTTCTTGACATTAAGTCTAACGATAAAGAGTTAATGCCATTCTTTGGCAAGGAGAAAAACAGAATTTGTCCGACAGCTCCCACCCACAGCCACCGTTAATCATTTATGAGCCCAACAGCTGGCATTTGCATCAAGGCAGACACTGGAGTATGGAAGGGTTTGTGAAGCATGGAAAGTTCAGCTCTGAGCATCTGCTCTCAGATTTCCATGGATGCCCGGTAACATCCAGGGTGTGCCTGTTGCACCAAATATTCATTCTATTCATCCGTTTGCATGAGCGTCTGGCACTGAGATGTATGGTGACCGGCTGAGTGAATATTTTTACACCTGGGAGGAAATTACAATACCTGTAGATGCCCTATGTATATGATAAGACAAACACGAATATCTACAGATAGGTCAGAAAACGAGTTGCTCTATTGCCATCTTCTGACAAGGTGACAACAAAGCAAATTGGGTGTCACGATCTCTGAGATGGTAACAGAAACCCATCTCTAAATTTCTGGACAACACACAAAAATCACTCAATGAGGAATACTTGCTAACAAAAACAGTCCACGGTCAAGTAAGCGTGGAACAGCGCAAACTTCTGGGGGTACGGAGCCAGTGGTGCAAATTCCACATTCCTATTGCAGGGGCCAGTCTAGTCATCAAGCAAGGTGAGTGTTAAGCAACTTGGCCAAACCACAATCAGGAATTCACATTTTTATGGCAGGGCCAGTCTAGTTTGGAAATGTTACTGGAGCAATAAGGGTACCTACCCTACTTGTCAGCACCCAATCAAGATTCAAGCCTGCGACCTTCAATTTGTGAACAGGGCTCACTTAACCATAGTGCCCAACTGGTTTGAACTCAATGCGGCATACTGATCGGGGCTTCTTCTGCGTAAGTAAAGCACATGATCATGACCATCGTCAATATCTGCGCAGTGGCACTTTTACCTGCCACCAGTCTGGGTCCTCTTGGCTCACGATCTGCAGGATGTCCCCACGGTTGAACCGCAGGCCTGCCTCCTTGCACGGGATCAGCTGGTCATCCTCCGGGTTGTAGTCGAAGTAGCACTTCACAAACACCTTCCAAACACACTTAATTCAGGGGTCGGGTTAACGCAACATGTTGGACCGCCACGCCACCAAGCAAATGACATGCATTATTAATGCAAATTAAACATTTAAGCACAGGCACGACGTTATTTCCGCTCTACAGAGAGGCACAGATGGGTGGTTAATCAGTGAAGGGGCTGCTGTGGGAACGCGTGCGGCATAACTTATCACGTGGAGTGTGTTATGCCTATGCGAGAGTAACACCGTGTTCGAGGTTTTTTTTTGCTTACAATTACAATTTTGGCTAAGCAAACACATTCACTATGTGAAGGGTGCTTCTCCCACTGAATGATTCAAGTTGGCGGCACATCGGAATTCCCATTGATCATAAAATGAAACGACCAACAGAACTGCATTGATTTATGCATGCAATTATATAAGCGATAAAATACACTGGTATGTGATTAAAGCTTTATGTTTTAGTAGGTGAGACCTCAAAGGGCATGTGACTTTTTCAGCTTGCACAGGATCATGCGATGGGAGATTATGTATACAAATAAACACAAACCGAAAACAGATACATACTACAATAGTTAACGCTGCCAGAAAATCCAACCATTTACATATATCCATCTATGCAATATACATATTACATTATAGAAAATTTACTTTTTACCTATTTAGCAATGCAATTCATAAAGCCAAGAGTCAAAGTCAAATTTGCTTCCTGCCCAATAAAGCATTGGGCAACGTCCATCGCCTGTTTACACCCTTAAGCCAGTGGTGGAAATTCGACATTACTTTGGCGAGGGGCGAGTCTCTTCAGAGAACAACTACTGTTGACTTTCCTCCAAAGCGATACTAATTTTATCGACCTGAGAGAAAAGAAGGGCTGAGTTGATCCCAAATAAAAATTTTAACGTCTAACCTCCAATTGTGAATCTGGTCGCTATACTGCTCTGCCACAGGCTTTACAGCTTGACTGCTGCTCTACCTGCAAGGTCAAAGGTCAGAGTAAAGCCACACATATTGCGTTACGTTATCTAGTTTTCTTAATAAAACAATAGATATCCATTTGTGCTTAAAGCATATTGATTGATGTCCGTGATAATTACATGAGATTAAGTCATTCCGAAGCAATCAGTAAATGGGTTATTCTCGCATGAACTGCTTAACCAACAAGCTCTCCAGCTTGTGATAGACAGAGCAGAAGCTGTGAAGTCGTTGCTGTGGTAAATGCAATCAATGTACTCTTATAAAATTCCCAAGCAAGTCCCTGGCCATGCTGCTGAGTAGTAATGCATATTTTTCAACACGACAAGACTTCAGTAAATGTTTACTTAAACTCGTGCTGCTCAACATGAACTAACGGAGAGTGTTTTTAGAATCATAGTGAATATCTATTTATACAGTTACGTTGTTTTGCAATATACATGTGATCGCAGAGTCAGAGTGTTTCCTTTATCAAGCCAACATTGTTCTGGCACTAATTTCAATTTGGGAGCCAGCGCTGATCCAGCAATGAAATTCCATTTAAATTACTTTATGTACGATGCATGTGTGTACAGAATGCTGCCATGTTGAGATGGTTAGTACACTGAACTTGTAATCCAGAGGTTGCCAGTTCGAGCCAAACTTCTGGTGCAGCAGTTCAATGAATGGCCAAGTTTTTTTTTAATCCCCCCCTAAGCAAATTGAATGGGTACACGACATTTGGTAGATTGGCATGTCGTGCGTGGTGGGGTAAAATGTGGTTACTCCCATGTCTTCCAAGATGTCTGGAAAACTTGGAAGAGCAGCCTCAAATACCCTCCAAAGGGGCTCTATTTAGCTCCCTCTTATGGAGGCCCTTCCACCAGCAATGGTGTAAACAAGTAATTTCAGCGTTGAACCTTTACATTTTTAACATTATGTATGATTTAAAATTTCCAAGTTTAGCTTAATATATTATATTTTGATTTAAAGCTTTCGTGACTGCAGGGATTCATATGCTTTGTTCTTTCGGTAAAGTCACGGAGAAGGGAAACAATAAAATAATAAAAATATTAAATATTAAAATTCTCACGACGTTTCGATTGCAACACAAGCAATCATCATCAGGTTTGAAAACCACAGCAAGAAAAAAATGAAAAAGTGGCGTTTTTTTAACCTTAGCACCACGGAGAGCGATTTGGCAGTTATTCAGATGGACGAGTCCATCTATGTTCGGAAAAGAGGAGGGGGGAGACGAAAATAATGGATGCGGTCTGAAAGCCACCGTAAGCGTGAACAATCAAATAAGACCCGAAATGGTTTATCAAATTTTTCCAATGATTGCTAAGCCAGAATCCATCTTCTCGGTTGAAATTGTCTCTGTGTTTGTATATGTGGATAGCCTCATGAACGAATCTCTCATGGTAGCCAGATGGCTTGCAGAGAACCTCTGTCTTGGAGAAGTCAATGTCATGTGAGCCTACTGAATTATAACAGTGATCTGCCACGGGCGAGGTGTTGGTCCTACCGTGTTTTAGGTCTGCTTTGTGTTCACGAAAAAATGCGGTCCGAGACATGTCGTTTGGTTTCTCCAATGTAACTACTACCACAGAGGCAACTTAGTTTGTAGACACCAGGGTACTGTACAGTGAGGGAAAAAAGTATTTGATCTCCTGCTGATTTTGCACGTTTGCCCACTCATAAAGCAATGATCAGTCTATAATTTCAATGGTAGGTTTATTTGAACAGTGAGAGACAGAATAACAACAAAAAAATCCAGAAAAACGCATGTCAAAAATGTTATAAATTGATTAGCATTTTAATGAGGGAAATAAGTATTTGACCCCCTCTCAATCAGAAAGATTTCTGGCTCCCAGGTGTCTTTTATACAGGTAACGAGCTGAGATTTGGAGCACACTTTTAACGGGAGTGCTCCTAATCTCAGCTTGTTACCTGTATAAAAGACACCTGTCCACAGAAGCAATCAATCAATCAGATTCCAAACTCTCCACCATGGCCAAGACCAAAGAGCTCTCCAAGGATGTCAGAGACAAGATTGTAGACCAACACAAGGCTGGAATGGGCTACAAGACCATTGCCAAGCAGCTTGGTGAGAAGGTGACAACAGTTGGTGCGATTATTCGCAAATGGAAGTAACACAAAAGAACTGTCAATCTCCCTCGGCCTGGGGCTCCATGCAAGATCTCACCTCGTGGAGTTGCAATGATCATGAGAACGGTGAGGAATCAGCCCAGAACTACACGGGAGGATCTTATCAATGATCTCAAGGCAGCCTGGACCATAGTCACCAAGAAAACAATTGGTAACACACTACGCCGTGAAGGACTGAAATCCTGCAGCGCCCGCAAGGTGCCCCTGCTCAAGAAAGCACATATACATGCCCGTCTGAAGTTTGCCAATGAACATCTGAATGATTCAGAGGACAACTGGGTGAAAGTGTTGTGGTCAGATGAGACCAAAATGGAGCTCTTTGGCATCAACTCAACTCGCCGTGTTTGGAGGAATGCTGCCTATGACCCAAAGAACACCATCCCCACCGTCAAACATGGAGGTGGAAACATTATGCTTTGGGGGTGTTTTTCTGCTAAGGGGACAGGACAACTTCACCGCATCAAAGGGACGATGGATGGGGCCATGTACCGTCAAATCTTGGGTGAGAACCTCCTTCCCTCATCCAGGGCATTGAAAATGGGTCGTGGATGGGTATTCCAGCATGACAATGACCCAAAACACCCGGCCAAGGCAACAAAGGAGTGGCTCAAGAAGAAGCACATTAAGGTCCTGGAGTGGCCTAGCCAGTCTCCAGACCTTAATCCCATAGAAAATCTGTGGAGGGAGCTGAAGGTTCGAGTTGCCAAACGTCAGCCTCGAAACTTTAATGACTTAGAGAAGATCTGCAACGAGGAGTGGGATAAATTCCCTCCTGAGATGTATGTAAACCTGGTGGCCAACTACAAGAAACGTCTGACCTCTGTAATTGCCAACAAGGGTTTTGCCACCAAGTGCTAAGTCATGTTTTGCAGAGGGGTCAAATACTTCTTTCCCTCATCAAAATGCAAATCAATTCATAACATTTTTGACATGCGTTTTTCTGGATTTTGTTGTTGTTATTCTGTCTCTCACTGTTCAAACAAACCTACCATTAAAATTCTAGACTGATAATTTCTTTGTCAGTGGGCAAACGTACAAAATGAGCAGGGGATCAAATACTTTTTTCCATCACTGTATGTCCGGAATCACATCTTTTACAGACGGAACCATCTTCTTTGGTTCTTTCGGTAAAGTCACGTAGAATGAGAATAAAATAATAAATTGATAAAATAAAATAACACAATAATATTCTCACGACGTTTCGGCCACAACACAAGCGGTCTTCATCAGGTGAAGGGGCGAGACTGTCTGGTAGGACAGCGCTGGAGTGAAAGAGCCACGTTCAGATCACGGCCTTTAAGCTGTGTGAGAGGAACAAAGCGCCTTGACAAAGGAATTAGCATATAATTTAGCATTGAAATGGCTGAATGATTAGCTTGTGACTGGTCACAGAAATAGCTATGTTAAAAGTTAAAGCATAAACATCCGCAGAGGCACCCATTGTTAAAGGAATTAGCATAGAATTTAGCATTGAAATAGCTAAGTTAAGGCATACACATCCGCAGAGGCACCCCTTGACAATGGAATTAGCATAGAATTTAGCATTGAAATAGCTGAGTGATTAGCTTGTAACTGCTACAGAAATAGCTACGTTAAAGTCAGAGCATACACATTCACCGAGGCCTTAGTACACATCAAACAGGAGAATTTAGCATTGAAATAACTAGGCGAATTTAGCATTGAAATAACCGAGTGATTAGCTAGTGACTGGTCATAGAAATGACTACACATCTGAGCTATTCACAGTACTATATAGTGAACCAATAAAAACTAAAATATAAATTACCTTCATGTTATCAATAAACTCTATATTCTCCAATCAGCTAAGCTACCAACAATAAGTCGTTATATATCACAATGCTATATGGCGAAAAAATGGGTGGATTCTTACCCTTAAA